CAGAGATGGACCTGTTCTCCTGTCCTGGCTCTGGGAAGGGCTCTACATTGGGCAGGATTTCCAATTTTGAACTTGGTGTCTTTATCACTAATGAGTACCTCTGAGTTGTCACAAAACATAAAAAGAGATTGTGTTAGTGCCTGACGCCTGGTAAATGTTCAACACACACATACTAAGTTTGATCAAAATTGATCCCCTTCACTATCTCCAGTGACAGGTTCAAAGTGAGAAGTGAAAGCAAACAAAAGGCAGCAGTGACCTTAAAGAATCACCCATGTCTGTCCTTACTGAAAATAAAAAAAAGGACTATGCTCCAAGTATAGCATAGGGTGCTTTCATAGAACTCTGTCAAACTGACAGGCAGCCCAGATGTCCACCTTTTCAGATTCCCATGAGCTTATTTGCTATGCCAACCTAAACACATTGCTATCTTTGACTAGGGCAGTGGGCACAAACTGACTCTTTGCTCTCAGCCACTGGCGAGCAGACTCGCTCTTGATGCATCTTCCCTTCAAATTTTCTGAGTTATGAATGCTCTGGTCAAAGCTGCTGGCAGCCCAGGTTATCTATCATTTTTCACTCCTCTATATTTTACTTGCATCAGTATCTTTCTTGATGCCAAGTTCCACTAGTTTAAAAGAAATAAACCTTGGTCTCCCATTACCATTCTTCTTCCTGAAATTTAGTATCAATGAAGAAAACTAAGAATCATTTTATGGAAATATTTAATAAATATATTTTCTCAGTACACATTCAAAAATTCCACTTAAGAATGGTGTATTTTGGTACCACTAAATCTCATGACAATGTATGAAACACCCTTAATTACTTTCTAAGATGTGTTCCTTTAACTGGACTAAAATACCACATATTTTAAAAAATTAGTATTCTGGACATTTATGATCAATAATTATTTGTAAACATTTGTAAAATTCAGAAAGGTAAGTGTTCTTTCCAGGACAATAAGCTCCAGGAGGGCAGGAATGGAGTTGTTCTTGTTCACTGTTGCATTCCCAGCACCCAGTCCAAGGCCAGACAAGTACAAGGCATTCTATGAGAATTTGTTAACTCACACACTTTAACCTTACTCTATACACTTTTGTGTAAAAATTAATGGAACTATCCTCTTTAAAGCAAAGTGTTGTAGCAAACTGTTATTCTGAAACCAAAAGGAAAAAAAGAATTCTAGGGTAGTAGTCTAAGCACTTTGGAGAAAGCAACAGACTATCCTGGAATTTATACAAACCAGAAAGGCAAAGTCTGGGTGTAGCCTGAAATACATCATTTAGAAAAGCATAATATAAAAATATTTTCTAAATGCATGACTCCATGTATGAGACTCAAAAGATGGCTCTCAAAATTGCAATGCTGGCTCTGCCAGCATGTTCCCCAAGAAAAGCAGGAAACCATCCAGAGGCCGGTGTTAACTCTTGACTACATTCCAATGACCTACTTAAAAATGGATAAATGATGAAAGACTAAGATGAATACACATATTTTAGAACAAAGCTGTAAATGGACTGAAGCTTACAGAAATGCTAAGATAAACAGCTTCTGTAGACGTTTTCAGTTAAGACGATTTTAAAAAGTTGAGTCTACAATTCAGGGCCAGTGATTGTAGAGCTGACAGATGCCAAAGGCAAAGAGAATTAAGAACAGCAGGGAACATTTATGGAGCACCTAGAGCGGCAAATGCTGGGCTAAATGATTTGTATTTCTATCCTCACAGCAGATGAGGTTAAAAACCCCTGTATCTACTTTAGAGAAGATGAAATCAAGGCTCAGGACAATGAAAACTTGTCTATGTCTATACATTAACTGATAAGTACAAATGATCAAAACCCAAGTTCGACTAGAAAAATCTTTCCATTAATCCACACTTCCTCCTTGTTACACTTGAAAAAGTCAAATGAATGAATATTGGTAACTGAAAATCTCGAAAACATTGTGAAAATACTCAACAGCTGAAATCTGTTACAACTCAGATAAATTACATCTAGGGTCCTTGAGATGAGATCAGAATGGTAACCCTGAAGGGAACCATAATTAACAGATGAAGGGCAGAGGCCACTGTCAGTTTTTAAAGGATACATAGGACAAGAATGAGAAGGGGTACATATACGCTGTTAGCCAGCAGTCAAGTCTCTTCTGCCTTTGTATCACCAGGATCCTGCCCAGTGGCTCATGAAGGATGCTCAGGAGATGTTGACTCATTATTATCTTTAGATGCAGGATTAAAACCTTAAGTCATGCAGATGCAAGACTAAAACCTATTTTGAATAATTTCATGGGGGGGAGAAAGTTCCCAGTTATAAGGGAATATACAATAATCAAGACAGACTTGAGAGGAAAATGACACTTCTTCATTCTCCTTTTGGGAAGTCATGGTTCCCTGACTTTTACTATTCGAAACTCAATACTACAATGCTTATAATTCTCGTTCATTACACTTACAGTCTGTTCACAGCAGTTATCATCACTGACAATGTTACTACAAGAGAATGAATTCCAGGTTCCAAATGACTGAGTTACAGTATAATCCATTTAATTGGAAACTACATACACTTACATCATTTTCTCTCATTTCAATCTTTTCCTCCAACAAAACAGAAGTTAGTATCAAGTTCATTTGATAGCACCTCCGTAATTTCCAAACACTTTAAATTAATGAGCAAGTTAACAGAGGCAAATTACCTGCTGCAGTTTGGATTTTAAGTGTTCTCCAAAAGCGCATCTGTTGGAGGCTTGGACCTCAGCTCATGACATTATTGGGTCATGGTGGAACTTTGCATGGGACCTAGTGTGAGGTCTTCAGGTCTTTGGGGGCATGCCCTTGAAGGGCATCTTCCTCTTCCTAGCTTTCTGGCCAGAGATAAGCAGCTTTGTTCTACCATATGTTCTTTTGATATGGCACCATGGGCCCAAAACAACTGGGCCAACTGATCATGGATTGAAACCGCCAAAACAAAACTTCTCATCAGTTGAACATCTCAGATGTTTCTATAGTAACAGAAAGCTAACACATTGCCCTTCAGTTAAACTTCCCCAAATCCTCTTTCTTCATCAGTACCAATACAATGCAAGTTGAGTACAAAAGTTAACATCAAGTTTATGGACATTCTCTTTATACAAACAGAAAAAGTAGCAGTGAAAAGGGAGTAATATTGACATTTAGAATTTCCCTTCCTCTCATGTATGTAGCAGATGCAGGGTGAGCACATTTCAGAATTAACTCCCTATAATGTTAGAGATACCCTTGAAGAATCTAACATGATGGTTTCACTATCCAGGCGGCTATTATAGCCAGACGGATGTGAAGAAAGGCAGTTACTGACCAGGTCTCAGCAAGCAGAACAGCTGTCAGGTTATGACTCTGCTGCCACTAAAAGAACACAAAGAAAACATGCACCCAAATACATACAGGAACTCAATACCAGTGGTAGAAATTGTAACAGAAATATATTTCTCATGCAAAATAGGCCAAATGACAAATACCTGCACAGCACAAATAAAGATCTGAAAATTAAACTTTCTCTTTTGGGGGTACTGCCATGATTCTGTGGTTTCAATGGGTGTCCATCCCACGTTAAACGTGCAATTCTATAAAACCATGATTAAGAGTATAGAAAGCATATTTTGGAAGAAACCTGGGTGTGTGAAAGGTTGCTATGAAAAAAATGAAAACAGGAATGATAGAAGTATACTTTCTTTTATATACAAAAATGAAGGCCCAAAATATGGTTTGTTGAAGTAGCTATCAACAAGATGTTAAATTATTTTTCCTTTGCTTTGGTTAAAACAGCCTTGGAACAGCAGTCAGTTCCCCTTCTACTAACAGCATATAAACACAGTGACAGGACTACTTTTAGTACAGAATAAACAACTTTCAAGAAAAGAAATTAAATTAATTTTAAACTAAATTAAACATTTTTACCAATAAATAATTTCTTTTAAAGTAGCATCTTCATCCTACAATCTCGGGCAGAACATATACACCAATTTAAAAAATAAAGTTTCTCCCACAATAGTCATTACAGGTGTTAATGTAACAAGCTATTAAATGAAATTACTTTAATGTACTTAAAAAAAAATTCTAGCAACCAAACATGAATTTTAACAGTTGTCATTTTCTACAATTGTACATATTCTAAAATAATTGACTAATACTTTCTTACAGAACATAATTCAAACTATTGTTGGTATTTCAATATATTCCTAAAGAAATGGTTAAAAGAATATTTAGTACACCAAATCTGAAACAGAATTTATAATTCTGATTTACAGCTAATAAAAGGCAATCAATTCCTATTTAAACTGTAACCAGTGATGAAATATACTTCAATAACAAACGTTTGGTCTCACAATCTTTAATATTGGTTAAAAACAGTCTGATGTTTGTTGCTCATGGAAGTTACTTCAATCCAATGTGCAAAAAAAGGTGCAGCCATCTGCTTTTACTTGAAATACATAAGACCAACACTACTATTTACACACTTAGAAGATTTTTAAATTTATTAATTTAAGCAAGCATATTGCATCTCTTTTATGGATAAATCATGTGCCACAGAGAGCCTAAAAGCTGGATGACATTCCATTAAGCCACACAAATGTTTCTTGTCCTAATTTTGAACCTAAATATAAATCCAATTTCAAAATCAATTAAGAATTACTTTGATCTAATAAGTCTTGGAATTGTTGCACATATGAAAACCTTGTCTCTGAGAGCTTTCACTCCTCTCACCACTGGTCTACTCCACAAACCCTCCACTTGTTGCAGAAGGACAATGCCCCCAAAAGAGGAACCTGTGAACCCAGCCCTAAGCACCAGCATCCTGTGGGTTCACAGGATGGTGTAGTATGTACGACTACAGCTTTGGGGGTAGATATGGGGCAATCGAAATGGATGAAGAAACACTTCAGCAAAGCAATTATTACCTGTGCACAAAAACAATGTAAAACAGTGACAGAAAAAGTGAACAAACCAAATATAAATCTAATACCATTCTGCATTTCCAGAACTTGGTTTCACACTTGTGCCGTGTTCTTGGTCAATCACCCACCAGCATTTTCTGGGTCTGTATGAAGAACGTTTATTAAGTTATTCAAACTGCTGTTTTGACCAGAAGTCACGTGTGACTATGATGATTAAGAAATCAATTTACTCGATTATTACTCTGTGCAGTGCACTCATAACGCGAGTGTAGAGGATTAAAAATAAAAGTCTCTCACCTCTAAACTGGACATAGGAGTTCTCAAATTAAAATCATAAAAAAGAAGGGGAGGGGAGCTTACTGGCAACAATAGACACTAGACAGGACACTGAAACGGTTTGGTCAGAACTTAGGAACGTAATTTCCTTGACAAAGTTTTAAAAACACCTAACCAATCACTGCCTTATGTCCAGCAAGTACACTGCTCCATTCATTTCCATGAAAACATAATAACTGGCGTTCGCTGATCACGATCCATGTCGTCCCAGTCTCGGCTTCCCAGGCGCAGCACTCGGGTCCTGCCACCTCTAGCTACAGGCTATTGTCTCCAACTGCTGCTCGGCTTCTGCGGCCATGGCCGCAGCCTGCAACTGTTCGGTCTCGCTCTGGATGGCACTGGGGGTAACCTGCTTCCTCTCGCTGTGCATATTGTTCTCATGTCTCTTCAGATCCGATGCCTTGGCAAAGGCCTTGGTGCAGGAGCCACACACAAAGGGCTTTTCGCCTCTGTGCCTCCTTTCATGGTCCTTAAGGTGGGACTTGTGTTTGAAGGCTTTGTCACACATGTGACATGCGAACGGTCTTTCGTTACTGTGAACTCTCTCATGCTTCTTTAAGTCTGGGGCACGAATGAATGATTTTCCACACACCTCACAACTGTAGGGCTTATACCCTGTGTGGATTTTTAAGTGTTCCTTCAGGTGGGCCTGGGTGGTGAACCCTTTTGTACACATTTCACATACAAATGGCCGGTCTGCGGTGTGAAGCTTCTCATGCTTCCTCAATCTGCCTTCATCAGAAAATGTCTTACCACATGCTTGACAGGCAATCTGCTCCCGATGGTGACCATAAAGTAAATACTCAAACTTCATGTCACTGGTGGCAGTCCAGCCTGGTGTCTGTTCATCTTTTACCTCACTCATTCCATCATTAAATGTTAAGGCTTGAGGGGTCTGGGACCCCAAATCTTTGGACTCTGGGGTCTCCATGGTTTCTACTTCCTGACCGTAGCAATTTACTTTTCGAACTTCCTCGCTCCCCAACTCTTTCAAAATCGCTTCCTGAACCCTGAGCGTAGTCGTAGGTGACTTGCCGTCCTCTTGACTTGGGGGGGTGCCTTCTACTGTGTCATCTGAAGGACTGTCATCCTGATCCCCGATTTCTTCCACATCATCATCCTGAGTGTCAGCAGTATCTCCAATGGGGCGATTTATTTTGAGGCAATATTTACTCTTTGATTGGCCATTATTTTCATCAGGACTAGATACATCTCGCTTCTGAGAACAGAGTTTATCCAAAAATCTGATACCAAGAATCTGACCTGATGACATCATTAAGTTAACATCTTCCTTTTTCACGGAGATCTTTGCTGTGTACATGTAGTTCAGGACCTCTTCAAATATATCAGAACGAAGAAAATCTATCTCGATGACTGAAGAGCTATCTACCTCAAGCTTCTTGAAAAGCTTTTTAAAGTAGGTGCTGCAGGCGGCAAGAACACATCTGTGTGCTCTGAATTTCACATCTTCAACCACAATAGCAATATCACAAAATTCTCCTTCCAGGCGTTGTTCATTTAGTGTTTTCAGAAACAGAGTTTTATGATCATCGTCATTGTATTTAATGGTTTCAGACATACTGATGAAAAACTCCTATGAAAACATTTTTTAAAAAAGGAGTTTAGTAATCATGAATAATACTTCATAGAGAAAACATAGGCAGATTTTCATTTTATGACTGACTTTTGGAACCTAGCAATTTCAGAAAGTCAATGTTAGGGATTGCCCAAGAATAAGAGCAGAAAAGACTGATGCCAACTGAGGGATTTCCGTACCGTTCTCTGTTTATCTTCAGTGTACAAAATATCTGTCTACTTACAAGACCAATAGCAACCTTCACAAAATACATGCCAAGCATTATTCTAGGCACTTTATATATTTTAACTAAATTCATGTCCAAATAACCTTGACTTATTCTACTGCCATTTAGTGAAGAGCTAGGACTCAAATGCAGATAATTTAGCTTCAAAATCCATGCTTCTAGATAACCAGAGGTAATCACAACATAAGTGAACCTCAAGGTTTAAGAAACAGTTTGGAGGCAAGAATCCTGTAGACCTGTCTATAGAATCTACTCTAATAACACACACAGAGAAGACTTTTTAAAATAACTTAAGAGGTCTCAGTGTAAAGTTTCCTATACAGAAGAGTCAACCACTGACACAGAACTAGAAAGGGATGTCATTGCCAAAATACTCAGTGCTGTCTTCTAGTTTTTCCATAACAGTTTTATGTCACTCCTAAATGAGGGTCAAGGTTTAATGTGACCTAAAAGAAACAGATGACTTCTGGGAAAATAATGATGAGTGGCTTCATTCCCACTGGACACTAACTGCCATCCAAATAAAAGTATCATCAATATTGGATGCACAGGTTGAATCTATTACCTGAAGTGCTTGGGACCAGAAGTGCTCTGAATTTCAGATTTTTTAAATTCTTGCATACACATAATATGAGATATCTTGAGGTTATGACCCAAATCTAAACATGAAATTCATTTGTTTCACATATAACTAATATGTATAGCCTAAAGGTATTTTTATTTATTTATTTTTGAGTACTGGGGATTGAATCCAAGGGCACTGCATCATGAACTACATCCTCAGCCCTTTCTATTTTTTAAGACAGAGTCTAAGTTGTTTAAGGTCTCACCAAGTTGCTGAGCTAGGCTTGAACTTATGATCCTCTGCCTCAGCCTCCAGAATTGCTGGGATTATCGGTGTACACTACCATGCCCAGCTGAAAGTAATTTTATATAATAAATTTAATAATATTTTAAACAGAATTTCATGGTGTAGTATTTTCCACTTGTGGCATCGTATCAGCACTCAAAAAAGTTTCAGATTTTCAAAATATTTTGAACTTCAGGTTTTTGAATTAGGGAAACTTGACCTGTTCTTGCTAAGAATTGAGTTATTTTACAAGAAAAGAAACTTAGAACTAGCATGAAGGACCTCTGTCACCATGTTAAAGAACTAGTCTTTTAAAATATTGTGTCCTAATTGTTCTCTTATAAAAATTGTTTTACTTTTATTCAACATAATATACATGTGAGGAAAACACAATTTTTCCAGAGAAACAGACTGCTATATATAATCAGAATTGAAAATATGCATTTTATAGCGAACACAAAATGATTTTTTCAAGATTTAAATTAAAAGGTATAATTACCATGAACAACTCAGGCAATTATCTTAATGCCTTAAACGCCAAAATCTTCAGATCAGAATTACTCTGATCAGGGACACACCAGACCTACAGAGAAAAAGATAAAACAAGAGTGAGGTAACATCTTTCTCTATTCTGAATTCTCAACCAAGAATGTTGTCAAGAATTGAGTTAAAAAATAATAATAATAAAAACCCTCCAATTTTTTTTGTGCCTCTTGTCCCACTTCACACTGGGAGTAGCAAAGTGGATGATGAGTATCAGGCCCAGTTCTGAACAAATGTGGACTAGAATGGGTGAGGACTGGGCACAAGGGACATGGAGGGACTGTACACTGCAATAGGAAGGATGGGTTGGAGAACCGTTAAGGGATTACTCCTCATTAGCAAAGCCATGTCCACACTTGTACACATGTGGACCACTACACAGATGACAAACTCCAATAAGTAGCCCTTACCCCCATCATTTCCAGTTGGGTATGCAACCTTCTACATTTTCCTCTAGGCTTGTACAAACATATACATGCACTTATCTTATATAAAAAACAGACAAAGCTGTACAAGCACACATGTAGCATGGGAGGTAAGAGTAGCTGTTTTCTTTACACACCTGTGTGATATCGAGCACACTTGTCTTTAAGATTGAACTTGTGAAATCCTGGTATTTTATCTCTATCCCCACAGTCTCAAAGAAATTTAGCTTTTTAACTCTTAGCCGAAGAACTCTTTCCTGCACTCCAATGTCTTAAAACCCAAAACTCTTCTCTACTAAACGATGACCAAATAAACTGCTATAGTAGGAGCAAAGGACTGAGCTGTAATACAGTCCCACACACACACACAAAAAAAAACTGATGCAAACCTCTAACCTGAAGACCAAAGTTCCCTCTATAGAAAACACTAAGCCAACTAGAATACTAAGGGGGTTTCTCATCTGCAATGTGAAGGCTGAGCAAAATTATTTTTAAGGATGCTTCTTACTTGACCATTTTGCTCCCTGTTCTTTAGGGTCCCCAGGGACTACAGTCACCCCCAGAGAGAAGCAGTCCAGGGAGAAGTTTCCTACCCTGTCACTTCCTACTGATGTAACTTCTGGGGCTTAGAAAGTAAAAGTGCACGGGTCATACAGTGTCCATGTGTGTCCTGTGTGTGCGCATATGTGGCCAGTGTGTATTTGGCTGTCCCCCTCCTCAAGATCTCTTGAGGACCTGAAAGGAGAGACCATGTGTTCACTGGCTCATTTTTTTCTATAGAGATGTTCCAATTGCTAAGTTCAGATGAGTCAAACCGGAAGACAGCCATTGCCAGTATTTATGTGGGTAAGTGCAAGAAAAGATGTAGCCCCCAACTACACCTCCACAGTAAAGCTGCCCTTTGCAACTGCTCCCCAAATCGCGAGCGCACAGAGTCGCCCGTATGGAGCAGGGAGTGGGGCTTCCCGCAAAGCCAAACTTACATAAGCAGCCGCAGCCGCCACCCCTACCCCTGAGCAGCTGCGACAATGGCTGCCGCACGATTTCAGAAAGGGGAGGAAGCAGGGAATAAAGAGCAAGATCCGAGGCGCTTTCAAAGCGTGTCCAGCCCTCACTCTCATCTCTTTAGGCCCGGGACGTGGGGGAGTGAATAAAGCCTTTTGCATTCCTTCCCAGACAAAAGCTCCCGGCCTCGGAGCTGCCTGGTGAAAGCGTCACTTTCCCTTTCATAATCAGACTAGGGGCGCAGGCTGTCGGCCTGAGCTCTGAGCGCGGGA